CTTTTTAATATACTTATTCATACTTGAATATTTAATTGAAAAATTAAATTAATAACAAAATCAAGTTGTAAAATAAAATATAAAAAAATATACAAAATGTTTTATTTTTTATACATATAAAAAAAACCTATTATTAGGTTTCAATTATATCTTATATATAGTTAGCCATTTATATTATTGAGTTTCTGTATAAGTATAAAATTAGAGATACTATCTTCCTATTTAAAATTTCATAGATATCTATTGTTATAAAATCAAAATTTATATTTATGAGAAATAATCCACTTATCATTATAGAAAAGTATATACAGGCATATTTATAAAATGTGCATATATGAAAGATTGTGTATTATTTATTGCAAAAATAAATTTTGCTATATTATATATATTAGAATATGTATTAATTTAGAACATCCATAAGTAGAGATATGAAAAGTCTGGTTTGGTTCTAACTTGACTTCAAAAGTTAAGTCTTTGTTACAGCTATTTTTATTAAGACATATAGTAAAAAAATTGACTTTAATAAGTTTTTAATAAATTTTTAATTTAGATTAATTAGTAATTTAGCAATAATAATATATATTTTTTTGTAATTGTATTCTGAACAATACTATATCTAAATTAATTTTTTACTTAAATATATATTTAATGTGTTTAGTTTGTATAAAAATTTATAATAAAGTTGTTTTTGCCAAGTATAAGCTTTAATAATTATATATTATACAAGGTGCTAAAAAAAAAGTTTGATATAAATAAGATTTTATTAACCAAACTAAACTTAAATTATCATTTTAACAACTAAGTTTTTGTTAATATTTGTCAAAACTATATTAAAAATTATAAACAAAATCATAGTAAAAATTATAAAAATATTTTATTTATTTTTTATAATAAATTTTAAAATATAGACCAAAAAAGCAAATTAGTATAAATTAAATAAAAATATTAAAGCAGTTAATCTAATAACTAAGGAATCTTTAGCTTGTTTATCTATAGTAAATATTTTAAAAATGCCTAGCTTATCTAAAATAATTGCTATTAAATTTAAAATTTAAAATAATAGTAACTAAATTTAGTATAATCTAAAGTATAAAAATAGTAATATTGATATATATTATTTTTGTTATTACACATTGTACAATTGCTTATTATCAAAATTAAAAACTTATTGAATTAGCCAAACAATTATTTGGTTAATTTTTTATCAAATGTCTTAAAATTAATAAAAATAGCTATAAATGCTTAGTCTTAAGTAATAATATAATAGAGTTGTTCCAATAAAGTCTTAATAGATTTTTTAATATAAAAAGTTATAGCATAATATAACTTTTTATTAAGCTATAAATAAGCTATAACTTAATTTGCTATATCTTAAAAATTTATTAGAACTTCATTGGGATGATTTTACTATATTACTAGTTCCAAACAAATCTGTATATACATTTAGTATAGTATAAAAAAATATATACTTTGTATATATTTTTATTTTTAAATATATTAGATATATAAGTTAAAATTCCAAGTCTCTTAAAACTGAGTATTTAACAAAGACTCCAAGTTAGGCTCAATCTAAACTTTTTATATGAGTATTAATTAGAAACTATATAATTTATTTTTGAAGAATCTAATTTTTAAAATAACATCTATAAGTATTATTTCACACTTATATATACAGTATTGAAATATGTTTTCTAATAACTTCAAATTAGTAATTTTATTATTACTTATTGAATTTTTTGTTGGATATAGTTGTTGCTTATTAATGTATTATTTTATTAGCCTACTATTAACTTGAATGAACTTCTATCATATATTATTAAATTGAATTTGCCAAGATATAAACAGAGCCACCAGTTTTAGTTTTTAGATTATTTTTAATTTTTGGCAAAGTACTAGCTAGAATAAGAAAGTATTAGTAAGAAATAAAAAATAAAACCAACAATATAAAAAAAATTTAAAAAAGAATACTTATCTTTGTACTAGTTCTAATTTTTATATAGGTTCAAAGTACTATTTTCACTTTTCTGAATAAAACACTAACTTGAAGAAGAAAGAATATATTAATAAAAGAAATAAAAAATAAAAATAAGAAAAAAAAAAGTTAAAATACCAGTATTTAGTACCAGTTTAATTTCTCTGGGTTAAAATCTTCAGTAATATATATTCTTGTGTCTCAGAAGAAAGATCTAGCTATATATATCTAAACTTCAGTAAAATTTGAAAATAAAAAAGAATAAAGTTTAGTTCAAAGAAAATAAGAACTAAAAAAAAGTTAAATAAGAAAAATTATTCACTTATATTAAAGCTCAAGTCCAAAAACTAGCAACTCTCATATACTAAAAATCTAAAAGCACCAAAAGAAATAGGTTAAAATAAATCCAAGAAAATTAAAAAAAAGTCAAGGTATTTCTACCCAGAGTTGGCAATGAAGCCAATGGAGTTAAATGGTTATGTGAATGGAATTCAAAAAACTAGTATCCATTAACTCTATTTAGTAAAGATGAAATCCATAAACTATTAGTTAATATAAATAAACTGTAGTTTATTGTAAAACTGCAGTTTTAAAATAAACTGCAGTTTATTTATATGTACTGTAATTCACAGTTCACATCTCTACTATTCAGAGCTTCATTGATTCCATTTGCAGCTTCATTGGGCTCTATTGAGCTCCTGCTTCTACTTACCTAAACTAAGACTCCTCAGCAGTAATTGCTAGAAGATACCTGGTAATAACCTGAAATATGAGTCTTGTGTCACCTGATTCTTTGCCCAAAAAGAAGACAAAAAAGAATAAATAAAATAAATAAATAAAAATATATAATACTTTTCTGGTGCCGGATCAACAATAAATAAAGTTACAGTACAAAAAATAAAAGAATGTTCAATAAAGATACTGCATCTTTTCTTAATATTTCTGTAGAGTTCTCTTTTAATAATGAAGAGTACCATAAATGGCTATTATAAAAGATCCTCCTGAATAGTAGACCCACCAGATCTCTTGATTGAAATGCAATTCTTTTTCAAACATTTAGATTGCATGTTACAAATGCAAAGTGTGTATGTATTTCAAATTTTTACTTTCAATGATACAAAACCTCAGCCATGTACTAGAACCCAGGTCTACTATAGGTTTTAAAATTGGTGGAATGGAATGTAAAAGACCTGGTCATTTATATGGCCGTTTATGGTATTATCACTTGAAAAGGATCTAAATGAATATTTTGGTTTGAATTCATAAACTCATTGAATAGAAACATTAATTAACCATGGTTCTCAAGCAGAGATATCAATAATTTGATCATTTCAAGTTGACAATTCATGAAGGATAAAAATAATGTGAGAATCATGAATAATTAAAGTACGAATTTGTTAATTTTTGAAAAAAAATTCTTAAAGTTTAGTAAATATAAAGATATCGCGAAATGAGAATGGGTTATCAGGAGATAATTTATTTTATTCTCGTATTCTTATTCTGCATAATAATATGGGCTACTGCAAAAAGGACCAAATTGTCAATTTTTTCAAAAGATATTTTTTACATAAAAATAAATTTAGAATAAGATTAGGATCATTTTTTACTTAAGATACAAAAGTAGTTATATTAGAGGGTTTCAAAGTTAAAATCAGAGAATCTCATTTTATTTTTCCGATTTATAATTCAATATATATAGTAAAAATACTATTGAAAAAATTCTATTTATTTTCGAAATGCGTCACTTATTTGTTAACTTTGAAACCCCCTATTAATAAAATTTTGCATTTTCTTATGATTTATTATAAAAATTGATCCTTTGTTTTGTCAATTTGGTCCCTTTTTGCATATAATGAACCAATAAATAAGTAAATCTATCGATTCTTTGAAATTTTTGATTATTATAGACCAAGAATTTTTTTGCACCCCAATTTTTTTTTTGACATTTAAAAAAGGATTAAAAAGTTTAATACATGACTTACTTAAATGTTAAATACTTTAAAGTATTCGGTATATCGATAATGACTTTACATTTCTAACAAAGAATTTTATTGTAATTGTAACCTAAATCACTCACATTAACTGTTAACGTTAAAAGTAAATTTACCTGCTATGAGATAAATAATAAAACTATCAATTAAGTTTTCCGAAAATGGGATTGATCAAAATATTTATAATATGTGACAACAGAAGCCTAGAAAATTTGGGATTTTTATTTATAGGATTTGAAATTCTCTATCACTATACAAATAACGATTACGATAAATTAATCATTACCGCAAAATACACAATTTTTTAGTACGTACAAACACAAAAATTTTCTGAGATTAATATACAAAATGTATTTACTTAGAAATACAATATATCGTAGCGGTAATTGTCTTTATACTAGTGTATAATTATTTTTTCGCAGTGCAAAACCGAATATGTTAAAAATGCGATTTCGATACTATAAAATAGTCTTTAAACCAATTTATGCCGTAAACTTAATTATAACTTTAGTATAATTAAATTATCTTTTTATTTATTATTCATTTTAAAATTTCAATTATAATTTATTTAAAATTTCAATTATCATATATTATTTATTTATTAATTAAAATAACAAAAAAAAAAAAAACCAACTTTTTTTTGAGATACTTAGTTTCGGAGATTAACTCTCCTACTTGTCCCAACCACCGCGTAGAGGTGTATCTCATCGGTTGGGAAGGTTTCCCCCAACCAAATCTCTCCCGTATTTCCCGCCGGGAGTAGGTTGTTCCACTTGAATCAATAATGATCCAATAAGCTTTGGCTCATAACCTCTATAGCTCAGATATATACAATACTATTCAATAAAATATTTTACTACGTAATACTATACTATTATACTATCCATTTATCCACCCTCTCCTTCCTTCCACCAACCACTAACCCATAAGCTTTTGACTCTTAAAAAAGGTACGTAACCAGTCCCTCATACAGGACCAGTGGATCTTAAGTAGTGGAAATGCAAAAACTCATGCCTGATTAAACGGTTTTCCGCCGATTAATAACCCACCAAAAATAACCTAAATCCATCAACAACAACTAAACCCACCAAAAACGATAACATAAATGATCTAAACCCACCAACGACAACAACCTAAACCCCATCAAAAACGATAACCAACAACAATCTAACCTACCAACAACACAACCTAAACCCACCAAAAACGATAATATAAATGATCTAAACCTACCAAAAAATAACAAACCCACCAAACTAAACCCACAAAAAACGATAACCCAAACCCACCAATACCCAACAACAACCTAAACGCACTAAAAACGATAGCCTAAACGCACCAATACCCAACAACAACAACCTAAACCCACTAAAAACGATAACCTAAACGCACCAAAAACAACCTAAACGCGCCAAAAACAACTTAACACCACCAAAAACGTCAAAATTAACCCTTTACTAAAACGATCTAAACCCCAACAACAATGTAAAGCAATAATAATCAATAATAAAGCAAACAGTAATAAAATAGAGCTATAACGAAAACCGTGTAATAAAAACAAAAATTGTAATGAAAATGAAAGTATAATAAAAACGAAATAAAAAAAAAAACAAATAATACACGTAACTTATAAATAGTACAGATCATATGATTGGCTAGCTATCTAACATGTGACCAATCACTTCATTGAATATCTAAACCGATAATTAGTTGCGCTACTTGCAAAATGAGTACACTTAAATTTAAATAATTAGGGCTTTTGTTTTTTCTCATTACTTGAAAAGTAAAATGAATTATAACAATTCGGTTCACCATTAAAAATCAACTAATTTAGACCCTTACGACCTTGGATAATACAATCAACAACATAAGAATAGAAGGATGAACATAAGGAAATCTACCGAATTAACGAATCTAATTATATTAATGTTTCGGCTTGTGATAATTCTAAAAAGCAAAAATTAGAAATAGGTGTTGGGTCTAAAAACGATTCAGGATCTGACTACATTTCGATTCGATCATATATAGTAACTAATACAATTTCCAATTTTAAGTGTAGCGCAAAATATCTTCAATTCCTGCAACAAGCACACCAAGTGAACACTTATTTTTGGATATATAAAGTGCGTAAAAACGTTATTAAATCCAAAGAGGATATTTCCAAAACGTAATATCAATTGACGATTGATATGATGATACTGCATAGGATTGATATATAAATATAGAATAAAGCTTAAAAAATAATGGCAAAGATTTTTTGTTATAAAGAAAGTCATGTTAATTTCATTGCGCAAAATTTAATTACCGTTTGCACTGAATATAGTATCCAGGGTCTTGTTCAAAACTTTCGGTTTAAAATTGATTAGTACACGGGTATTATGAAAATCATGTCCCCTGACTAATAATATTGTCAAGAATAAAAATAAGGCAATTAAAAATTGGCATCTATCACTTTTAAAATATACTTTATATAGCTATACTGTTCGCACTATAAAGAAAATGTATTAATTGATTATGTAATTTTATAATAGTTATTATGAAGAATCCGGATATTCGATACATTTTTAAATAGAAAACCGGATAATGGATCGCATCTCTAATTACGTGTAAATAATTTGTCCGCGAAATATAGACCAACAGTGAATCTCGGGATATAAAATGATATTCAAAGTAGGATAACCTATCAACTTTTCGGAAACTGCATGTTTATCTTGACTAATTAGCACTGGAATTGTATACCTACCAATTGGAGATACTTGTGATAAATAATATCGAAATCTTTTTTGACTTTCAATTGTTGAATTCATCTTGAAAAATTGATGAATGTCTGATTCACAGAATCTTCGAACTTTAAAAATGGAGCTTTCGTGTGATAATGGTATGTTTTCATCTAAACCAATGAAAAACCTTTTGTCCCATAAAACAACATCACCTGGATTAATTTGTTGTATAGTTACATTATCATGAGATACTTTAACCGGTTGTCGAAAAAATATCCAAGGTTGAGAATCCGTATTTCCAAAAGGAATAATTTTTCCAGGATTTAATAGAACTCCATGGATAGTGATGTTGGACAGATTATGTGATGTATATGATGACATTATGTGTTGATAACATCGAAGAACAGAATCCAGTCGCGGAACCTGTTCACTACACTGGATCCAACGTATAATCAAAGCTATGATTCTAGTCCCAAGATATTTTTCACGGAACCAATGATCATGCGGAAGATTCTTGGGTAAATAAAGCGAGCAAATTCCATTATCACTGTCGAATTTTATCGAATTACTTACAATCATTTTCACTAAGAAATATACTATGATTATTATTAAATTATTAGTTATTAAAGATGTTCAAATAAAAATTTCTTGTTACCCTTTGATTTCACACAATTTTTATGATAATTCATGTGTTCCATAAATCTTGACAATCCTTCTGTGGATAAAGGTTCATATTCGGATTGACCATTTAAGTATCTTTGGTTAAGCTCATTTATTGCTAATCTTACTACATTTCTTTTATAATCTTTCGATAAATTTGTAGAATCTTCAAACCATGGTATGTTTTCAGCTTTACAAGTTTCTATTAATCTATTCTAAACAATTATAATAAAGAGGTTAATATTAATAAAAGATTAATTATATAAAAAAATATCTACCTTATTCAATCTCAAAAATGGTCTAATTATATTAATGCCTAATGATTCAACATTTCTTATTATTGGAAACTGACTAATATATTCCATTGAGGTCAATCCATTAATTCCGCTACCCCTCGCTAATCTCATTATAACAGTCTCTAATTGATCGCCATGATGATGACCTAAAAATAGTGAAGATATTTTTCTCTCATGACAACCTCGAGCCAATAATTTATACCTTTCAATACGAGCGAAAGTCTCTTGTTGAGAAATTGTAGGAAAAGTGAGAGTATCAGATAAATTATTTCCTTCAGAAATTTCCCAATTTATTTGCATAATTTTTGTATCAATATCTAATAAACTAAGATAATTGAATCAAGAAGTTTTCAAAAAAAAGAAAAAGCTCATATAATAATAATAATAATAATAATAATAATTTTTTTCACCAACCAAGTTTAGATAATATGTTAGCAACTCTATATGATTCTTCAGTACTCTCAGGTCGAAATTTATGATCAATTATAAAAGCTGTTAATTTATGTTTAAATTCTTTACTAAACTTATTCAAAAGATAGCAAAGAGCCATGCTATCAACTCCACCAGACACTGCCACGCCTATATCATAAATGATATTAGAAAGATTTATTCAAATACTTATGAATTATATACATATCAAAGGCAAAAATTATGAAAACATTTCATGCCAAGTGGTTCTTCCTTTTTAATATGAAATTTATTCATTAAAGATATAAATTCTTTGAGTGATATTGGATTTCTCGATGCCATCTTTTTTTTTTTTTTAATTTGAACAATAGCAGTAATTTATCGATGTTATTATCTCAATTTAATATTTTCATTTTTTATATTATTATGAATCGATTTATACAGTACTTTTTATTCTTGCTTTTTCTTGTTTATTAGTTGCACATGTTGAGAATATGTAAATTCAATACTCGATACTGGGTACATATTTGTTTTAATTTAACGTGAAAATAATAATAATGTAATTTTATGCAGTATAAATACTTTAAAAATTTTTTTTTATATTATTCAAAATTTTCCGGTATATACTTGTTTATAAGTAATAACCTGTTATACTGCACCACTTGCCCGCCAAGCGCTCAGAATTAAATTTACAATCTCTGGCATACCAACACCATTTTTTACTTGAGCGAAAATTGTTGGACCAGTTTCTCTATAATTTAGATCAAAAATTAAATTATTATCCCTATATCGAAACATTTAAAAAAAAAAAAAATAGGCGAAAAACTAACCTCATCTTACGTGCGTCCCTTTCCATGACACCTAAGTCGGCACCGACAATTTCTGCAAGGTCTGTTTTGTTAATAATTAAAAGATCGGATTGTGTAATACCGGGCCCACCTTTACGAGGGATTTTATCACCTCCTGCTACATCAATTACTTGAAAAAAAAAAGACAACGTTTTATAAACCGAAAAAAATATCAACACATAATTATCATTTTAAATAAAAACATAGAAGTGCTGTTACCATAGATAATGTAGTCTGCTAATTCACGAGAATAATTCGCTACAATAATTATAAATATGTCAATAGAATGATTACATGAAAAAGGAGGATAATTCAGAATTAAATTTCTTTTTCTTACCAGCCAAATTGTCACCACCACTTTCTACTAATAATATTTGAGGATTAAATTTTGCATGAAGCTCTTCTAAAGCATTCAAATTAGCAGAAATATCTTCTCTTATTGCAGCATGAGGACAACCACCAGTTTCAATTGCACGAATTCGTTCTGCTGGTAACGCATTATTACGAACAAGAAATTCTGTATCTTCACGAGTAAATATATCATTCGTAACTGCTGCAATAGAATAATTATCTCGAAGATTTCGACATAAGGCAAGCATTAACGCTGTTTTTCCAGAACCAACAGGTCTTTGAAAATTTTTTGAAAATTTTTATTATTTTAAATATAACTAAAAAAAATTAATGTAATATTAAAAAATAGATATTAACCCTCCAATTCCTACAGTAAAAGCTCTTTCTTTCCAGTTACGATTAATATATTTTGGTAATTCTCTTTCTGTGAATTTACCAGGATGATCCAATTGTTCATGAGTATGACCATGGTCTCCATGTGAATGAGAATGTCCCTGAGTATGTGTCGTTTCTGTTGTGGGCATATGGTCTTCGAAATGGCATACTTCTTTTGGGGATGACATTTTTTAAAAGGTGAATAAATTAAATTGTAACAGTATCGTTGATAAAAAAAAAAAAAAAAAAAAAAGAAAGTATACGTAGCAGTATGCAGTGATAAAAAAAGCTCACATAATCTTTATGCTTATTTTAGTGTAACGCATTCATAATCAATACCATTATCTCAAATTACTGATAGCATGTCGTATCACAAACATTTTTCATCCGTTTGGTTGATAAGTTCCCGATTATCTTGAATTTTATTTCCAAATATAATTTAGATAATGGTTTGTGTTTCATAAGAAAATGGCCAATATAGGAAAAATTAGGAGGTCAATCGAATTTAGAATACGTATAAAATGATCGATATAATTATACATATTCTTTTTTAAGGTTTTTCAAGCCTTCGTATTTTTTTAATAAAAAACTTTTTTTTTTTTCTTTAAAGTCTAATTCAATTCTCCCTTCAAATAATCCTTTTATCTCAACGAAATAATGAGGCTAGTTCCGCGTGAACTCGACAAATTAATACTTAGCCAAGTTGGATTCTTAGCTCAGAGACGTCTCGCTCGTGGTGTAAAATTGAACCACACAGAGGCTACCGCCCTCATAGCTTCACAATTAATCGAATATATGAGAGATGGAACTCATTCTGTGGCTGACCTAATGAACTTGGGAAAACAAATGCTTGGAAGTCGTCATGTTCAACCGGATGTTTTGGAAACGTTACACGAAGTTCAAGTCGAAGGTACTTTCCCGGATGGAACGTATCTGGTAACGGTACACGATCCAATTGCTTCTGAAGATGGTAACTTGGAACTTGCTCTTTATGGGAGCTTCTTACCAATTCCTGATAAATCAAAATTCCCCATTCACAAATCTGAAACGACCAAAGAATCTGCTCCTGGTGCTATTGTAGTTAAACCAGGTAAGATTATATTAAACGAAGGAAGGCATCGGGTAGCTGTCAAGGTTACTAATAGCGGTGATAGACCTATTCAGGTATGCCATTTTAGATATTTCGATAATTAGAGCGCTTACCATTTGAATTCATATATTTATAATTCAATCATTATTTAGGTTGGCTCGCATTATCATTTCATCGAGACGAATCCTGCACTTTCATTTGATAGACATTTAGCTTATGGTAAGAGACTTGATATTACCTCTGGATCCGCTATACGATTCGAACCCGGTGACACAAAAACCGTAACTCTTGTTGATATCGGTGGAAAGAAATATATTTCTGGTGGAAATGATCTTGCATGCGGTGTTGTTGATCCCTCTAAACTTGATTCTTTCGTTGAAGCTCTTATCAATAAAGGCTTTTCACACAGTCCACAAGATGATAAATCCTTATCATGTGATCCTTATTCCATTGATCGAGCTGCTTATGCCGATATTTTTGGTCCAACCGTTGGTGATCGATTGAGATTGGGTAATACAAATTTATGGTTAGAAATTGAAAAAGATTACACTATATATGGTGATGAATGCAAATTTGGTGGTGGTAAAGTCTTGAGAGAAGGAATGGGTCAGTCAACTTCTGTATCGGATTCTGAAGCTTTAGATTTGGTTATCACGAATGCTGTTATTGTTGATTGGAGTGGAATTTACAAAGTCTGTAGTTATTATTATAATTTCAGTTTTTATTTTTTACATTTATATAGTTTGCATTAACATGTGATCATTATTTTTTCAACAGGCTGATATTGGTATCAAAAACGGTATTATTGCAGGTATTGGTAAAGCTGGTAATCCTGATGTGATGGATGGCGTAACTCCTGGCATGGTCGTTGGTGCTACTACAGAAGCTCTTGCTGGTGAAGGTCATATTTTCGTTGCTGGTGCTATTGATTGTCATATTCACTTTATTTGTCCGCAAATCATTCCGGAGGTAAGTTTTTCTTGGAATATGGTTTATGTTGTTGCTTTTTTTTCACTAAATTATTATTTATATTATTTTATATTTTATATTTACAGGCGCTTTCATCAGGTATCACAACTTTAATTGGTGGAGGTACTGGTCCAAATACTGGAACAAATGCGACAACCTGTACACCTGGAGCGACACATATCGAAATGATGCTTTCATCCACGGATGATGTTCCAATGAATTTCGGTTTTACTGGCAAAGGCAATGCCTCTGATCCAGTAGCATTAAAAGAACAAATTAAAGCTGGCGTTATGGGTTTGAAATTACATGAAGATTGGGGTACCACACCGAAAGCTATTGATACATGTTTAAGCGTGTGTGATGAGTATGACGTACCGGTAAATAATAATACAAGAAATTTATTAAATTTTCAATTTAACTTTTATTAATTTTCGTACATTTAATTAAATTTTAAAAGGTAAATATCCACACTGATACCCTCAACGAATCAGGATTTGTTGAACAGTCTATTGCTGCCTTTAAAAATCGTACTATTCATGCTTACCATTCCGAAGGCGCGGGAGGTGGTCATGCTCCTGATATTATTCGTGTTTGTGGAGAACCTAATGTTATTCCATCTTCAACAAATCCTACGCGTCCTTATACTGCAAATACGCTTGATGAACATGTTGACATGTTGATGGTTTGTCATCATTTAGACAGGAACATTTCTGAAGATATTGCATTTGCTGAATCTCGCATTAGAGCTGAAACTATTGCAGCGGAAGATATATTGCATGATATGGGTGCGATCAGTATTATTAGTTCTGACTCTCAAGCTATGGGCAGAGTAGGTGAAGTTGTGCTTAGAACCTGGAAAACTGCCCATAAAATGAAATTACAAAGAGGAAGACTAGGCACCGATGAGGATGGTCCAGCTGATAATTTCAGGATAAAGCGTTATGTTGCGAAATATACCATTAATCCGTACGTTATTAGTTATTTTATAATTTATTCTTGTATGGTAATATTAAAATAATCAAATTTTACATGTATTTTTTCATACATTTTAGAGCAATAACTAACGGCATAAGTCACCTGGTTGGTTCCATTGAAAAAGGAAAAGTCGCCGATCTTGTTATGTACTCTCCGGCCTTCTTTGGTACAAAACCCGAAATTGTAATCAAATCTGGAATAATTGTTTGGTCACAAATGGGTGATGCGAACGCTTCAATTCCAACCACACAACCTGTTATTTCAAGACCAATGTTCGGTGCTTATTCTGGTGCTGCTTCAAAGAATTCTATCGTATTCGTAAGCAGTGCTTCAATATATAGGGTGCAAAAATATGGTCTTAAAAAGAAGATTCAAACTGTAAAGAATTGTAGAAAAATTGGAAAGAAGGATATGAAATTGAACGATTCTTTACCGAAGATTGAGGTTGATCCTGAGACTTACATTGTGAAAGCTGATGGTGTGGTTTTAGAATGTGAACCTGCTAAAGAGTTACCATTAACTCAGACAGTTTATTTATTCTAAAAAAAAAAAAAGCTTATCATTTTATGTTTTTTTATGTAAATATGTTAATTAGCAGTTTTTTTTTAATCCTTGTCACATTTTATGTATGTAGATATTAGATATGTTTAAATAGTAATATATGTAGTTTTTTTTTATTCATAAAATATGTTTGTACAACTTTATTCGGATTAATCAAAGCAACAGAAAAAAAAAACAGTGGTGAATAATATAAACCACAGGAAAAAAAAAAAAAAAAGATTTCTATGTTAAAAGAAAAAATTAAGTCTATTATGTTAAATTATATGAATAATATATCAGAATAAATTAAAATACAAACTTCAATTTCAAAATTATTTTGGTTTTTTAAAGCATAAAAACTGTAAGTTAGTGTTTTTGCGACTTTCAACTAATAATTGTTTTACACTACTTAATTCTGAATCTAAACTGCCAGATGCTTGTTTAGTATCGTATAATTGTTCAATGGTGGTGTATATAAGTTGTAACGTTCCTTGAGCTTCTTTGCTTACATATTGTGATAGTGTTTGGTGCATAAACTCAATTTCAAGGGTAGCCTACAAAAAAAAAAAAAATCTCAAATTTTTAATCACAGTTAAAGTAATATGAACTAACAAGTGTTAATAGACATTACCTGTAGCATACCACCCATACCAAATTTCTCTACTTTTTGAAATGCTTCAAGGCAATCTCGTGCCATATTCTCTAACAGCGCTGTTAATGTACGATTAACGAGGGGCTTGGCAATATCACTAACTTGAGCATGAACTATGACAAGTGACAATAGAGCCTCGTATACAAAGGAATGTACCTCTGAATAAAATTTGTAATAGCTCTTTTATTAACCTAAAATATACATTGATTGATAAATAATTAATTGTTTACCTGTAGGTTTTGATATGTTATACCAATCAACGTCTCCTGATAATATACCGTTAACAACTATATCTCGAATTATCTGCGTTTTCCGTTTTAAGTAATCATCAAATAATATTCCATCCAGCTGATTTATAACATCATTAAGTGTCTGAAATTGAATAATTATTAATTTGTATAGTTATAAAATTATAATAGATTACATTAAAAATAGTTTTGAATTAAAGCATGAAATGGTCAAACTTTCAATAAATTCATACCTGCGTATCATCGGAAAGACTACATTTATATGCTGTCTCAAATTGAGATACAATTCTGGGTATCATGAATTGTTTTAGATTCGAAAGATTACTAATAGTAAGTAAAATCCTTGAATCCTATTAAATATAAAAACAAAAGTCGTTAGCAAATTTAATCAAATAACCAACTTTAACATATGCGTAATATATTTATAAAATATAATATTATTTACTATTTGTTTCGGATCAATCCTCAACTTCTGAATCATGTCTGTTGGTTCTTTGTTTTCGGTTGACTCAAGTGGCGTATAATCAGAAAACACTAAATGCACTAAACCGTCTAAATAAGCATACAAAGAGTCAAGGAATGCACCTTTAATCTTTTGTAAAAACGCATCGGAAATTCTAGACGATTTCTTAAAATAGTATAGCAATTATATTATGCTGATTAGATAGATGCAACCAGATTAATTATGTCGAAGCAACATAAACAATTTCACATACGTTATCATCATCGTCCGAAACGTAACCCAAGCTTGCTATTTTGTATGCGCTACGAGAATTATATTTGTGAAATATATGAAAGTTTCTCAAAAAATTAGTAATTTCGCGATTATCTTGATCAAGAGACCAATCTTCAAGCGTGAAGAAGATCTTAGCATCTGCAAATAAATATAAAGATGTATTATCAATTTTTGAGTTGCAAAATATGAACAGACTAGAAAGATGCGTCTATTTATACCAAAGTTCCATGCTACACATATTATTTCTACAAATTTCCATCTAGTATGTTCCATTAATATTTGTAATGCATTGGATACATCCGATGCCATATTAATTGAATGAATATCATTCACACATTCACTCATTCCATTAAGGATCTTCGTCAAAAAATAACAAGTGGTAACAGAATCAGATTGTACCGGAATGAATGACGAGGTCGGGCTATCACTAGTATAATCACCAGATAGTGGCGGAAGAGAAAAGAACTCTGATAACAATGATGCGTAAAGATCAATTACACCTTTAGCCATATTTTGGCATTGTTCTACTTTTCTGAGATCCATGGCTTGACGTCTGCGTCTGTTAGCACTAAGAATTGCTGGACTCTACAACCCAAAAATAAAGTTTTCAATTACCAAAAAATAAAACAATATTTATGGAAATATATATATTTTTTTTTTACCTTTTGAAATTTTCCTTCCATAAAAGATTTGCTTAACTTCCAAAAATCAGGTAGACATCTCAAAAGTAAATCCGATAATGATTTTACAACATCCAAAGTAGCTTTCCATATTTGTACATCCATATCCTTACCAGCTATATTTAATAATAGAAAACATATAAGTCTAAGTTATAATTTACAAAGTATAGCCAACCAACTCCTCACCTATCAAGGAATCATAGTCCCTTATATTAATAGCCTTTATTGCATTTTTAAGGCGTATTGCAACTTCTTTGGTATCATTAGAAAAAGGCGGCAGGGACTTTTTCAATGCTAATTGATTAAATGAATAATCACAAACAATTCATAAATATCAAAAACTAAAACAATGTGACGAGTTAATTTACCAAATTATTGACCTTGAATCTTATTCAGTTGCTCTTGGTATGATTCTTTTAAAAGATCAATTATGAATTTGTATTGACTATCAAGATAATGCCATATTGGATCTTCGGGTGTATCAAGTTCAAGAAGTACGCTATAATTGAGATAATCAAATATTTTATATATGATAGTCTCATATATAAAGAATGTATTGTTTAAATTAGTCACTTACTTAATAGTCCTCTCTTGCTCTTCCATCGATCTCCATGATTCTGTCAACTGTTTGAAGAGTTGCTCCCTCATCTCTTCCATTATTTTCTCGACCTCGGCCCAAACTTTATCAAAAACCTTCCGATATTGCGCTGAAAGTGCAGTATCATCAACTTCTCTTTCTGTTGTAGGATTACTTGATCCATTGTTTTCTGACGCGTCCAATGACATTGTCGATTCGAGAACAACTTTTCCTTTTTTATAATCTCTAATTATTACATCATACTTTTGCTATAAATAAATAAATATATAGATTTGAGAGAGATTAATAGCACATAAAATTACAATATAGTATATTACATGTTATACCTGTTTAATGGATTCCATGAGACTACTAGGCAAATTGAAAAAATATTTGTACTTTTCCAAAACGCTCAATGTGCTACGTATTTTTTCTGCCTTATTCCTATTTACCAAAACCGGTCCAAAGACTTGTTCAGCTCTGTTTATCGCCTCTGAATTATCATAATTGAATCATATCAATTGAAAAAGGCGACTGAAAAATTTTTAACGATAGTGTTTTTGAGGATACCATACCAGATAGCGCATTATCTAATCCTCTTATTCCATAATCATTATCGACATTCAAACACTGTGTTTTCATTTCACCATATACAGTATCGATTGTATTTTTTGCACTAACAAATCGATCAAAATTATCTTGAACTAAATTTCGAAGTGCTTCAGATTTCTGATCCAATGTGTACCGTAAAAGATCAGCACCTTTCAATAAATCATTGTACGATGTATCTTTGTGAACTTTTCGCAGAAAATACTTGGGGTTGAAAGATTTTGTGCCGACCAGTAATTGTGATTCTGTCAAGTAAATTCGACAATAAGATTATATACAAAAATTATAATAAATATTCATGATGATATTTACTTTCTTGCATCTCCTCAAGAACATCCTGAGTAGAACGTTTTGAAGGTGATATATCTTGCCTATTTAGTTTATTATCTCAATTTATTGCTTCTAAATATATTTATAAAAATCGACAGTATTAAAACTAAATTACCAAAGCACACTTTTTTTCAGACCAAGAGGGTCATTATCATCCAAACTCCATCTGTCATCTAACACACCTCCACTAACACCGTTACTGGTCTGATTGTTCGGCCCTTCTACATAAGAATATCTAACGGATTTTCGACCATCGTTCTCTCCTACCCAATATTCAGGTTCCAAAGTGTCAAGTCCATAATGTTTCAAAACTTTGAAATTCCGAAATATTCATGAAATGCAATGAGTATTATATAATATTTTTTATAATACATAAGTCGAATACTTAAAGAAATATACTTGCGGCTTCTCCAGAAAACTGTTCGTATATTGATTGTCGGTACATCTTTAAATTCTTTTTAGGCCTCTAGCTTACCAGTCCTTTTCATATCTTGAGATTCTCGTGTAACATGCCGATTTTCGACATTAAATAGATGTATTATTTTCACACAATTCAATACTAACCTTCCAATAATAAAAATGGTATATGAAGGAATTGTTACCTATTTCATTCAGATTATTATTGAATTCTCTAAATTCCTCTGAACTAACGCATACTTGTCATATTTTATTTTAGTCAAAGGAAGAACAAAAAAAGGGTATTGGCTTTTTCATCTACCTAGATAATGCACGAATTTTTATATGTTCGAAGTAAAATTATTAAATATTCTTTTATTTATTACAGAATACTATCAAGCTTTTAAATTATTCGATAATAAAGGTAATGATACTATTCCACCTGAAGCTTTAGGTGACTTGTTACGCGCTTTAGGACAAAATCCTTCGCAAGCAGAAGTTACCGAACTTGCTAAGACAGCCGGAGCCAACAGTGTGTATTATCGTTTATTAAAATTGATATTTATTCCTACATTTGTTTGTTACTTAATTAATGTATTTATTGTATTATATGTAGTCACTTTTGAAAAATTTGTGTCAATTCTTGAACGCCCTGGTGGATTTGCACCAGCTGCCACCTATGAAGAATTTGTTGAAGGATTTCAAGTTCTTGACAAAGACCGAAGTGGATACATATCTGCTGGTGAATTAAGATATGGTTTGTTTTTAAATATCTTTATTATTATTCAGATTTGACATTTCACACTTTTTTGTATTAATGCCTATCTTATTATCGTTTCACGTGACAAAGTGTTAACAAGCCTAGGTGAAAAGCTTAGCGAAGGAGAAGTTGATGAGTTAATGAAAACAGTCGAAGTTGATAAGAATGGTAACATTAAATATGAAGGTAAGTTATTATTAAATACAATAACATAATCTCAAATTTAAAATTTTCTGTAATTTAACACGTTATTATCATATAACTTTAGAATTCATAAAGCAAATTATGTCCACTTAAGATTTTGTAAACATAGCTAAAACTTACGTATTTACGTATTTTGTATTAGTAGCGAACAGGATTTTTGGTTAATTAATCTACTGTGTTATACTATATAATTGTAAACTTAAACTATTCCCGATAATTATTTCAGGGAACATTAAAATACAATATAAAGCAATTTGTATTTAATAAATATATAGATTATAAGATTTTGGGTAATTATATATTGAAGAATTGCGCATCTATAAATAATTTAACAATATTCCTGCTTAATTTCATCAAGTCTACGATAATTTACACTAGTAAAGTGTATCGGTATAGTAAATATGAAATACATATATGGGCACGTCTTACCTTACCTGTGCAAGTCTACGTAGTGCAGGTGATATAGTGACGATCATTAATCAAATTTTTCTATAATGCATGAATTCAAACGTAGCGTAGCGTCTATACAAATTGCAAACCCACACAAATAATTATATTTATCAAGTTTATTTTAATGTGCTCTTTAAAGCAACTGCGCTTTTTTTTTTATTGTCAGCATAGCGGAGGACTCAAAGTAGTACCAAAATTCTCGTTTTTGATGCATTTTAATAAAAATATCAAACGAAACTTTAAAATTTTTATGCAACGGCGACAGGCAGAAAAATCAAAGTTACGTTTTGATAATTTCGTTAGAAATTTATCAAAAACGAATATTTTGGCCCAATTTTGAGTCCTCTGCTACGCTCCAGACAATGGAAATAAAAAAAATGTCGTTGCTTTAAAGAACGCATTAATGCTCGTTAAAATATAATTTTTATTTGTGTGGGCTTGCTGGTTCAAGAATTATTGCAATTTGAATTTACTATATGCTATCTACGCTATCGATAATTCATGCAGTATTACGTATAGAAAAATTTGATTAATCATCGTTCATTTAACATAACAATCCCTTTTATAATTCACAAAAAACTTTTTTTATAGGAATATTATTTTTTTACTATGAATTCATTACAGCATTATAAACAGGTTGTATATGTACTCTTGAAATTAAGTCCAACGTTAGTAAACAACATTAAGCAACAATAAAAACCAGCTACAAAAGTTCTTTTTTAAATGATTTGATGGAATCACCTTTTCAGTATAAATCTTTGTACCTAGACATGTTCAACATTTTGGTCTAAGAATATTCGAGTATGCTTACACTTTACAAAATTTAAAAAGTGATTTGTAAATCATGTGCTGCTTAATAAATTAATAAATTGTAATCATTCATTTTTGTGATATCCCTGGCTAAATTATAGTTTATTTATTAAGCAAATCATATACAAATTGCATTATTTCAAACTCTAAAAATTAAAACTAATCTAATCTAATCAGATTCCAAACAAATTATTTGTGACTGTCTAAATGCTGCCATTAACGCTTTATCGAGCTGGTTTTTCTCAGATTGCGTTGCAATATACTTCTCAATGTCGAATTCTAACCTTTGTAGCTCGTGATAAACTCTTATTAACGCTATTAATCTATTCGTCACATCTTCTTGACTCTTTTGCAGTTTATCAAATATCATCATAAAGTGATTAATCATCGGTTTATTAGGATTAGGCGTGTCACTGCCACTTACTGAAGCCACATCTGTCGCTTTCCCCTTTGATTGTAAACCAATCTGTTGCAATTCACCGCTTGCATTAGTCAATTCCCTCATATTAGTTTGACTAGGAACTATAACATTATTTTGTTGAATATTAACATTAAGATTAATATTAGTAGAATTAATGTTATTAATTGTTGTAGTTTGATATTTCATCATATTAGTGTTCTTAATGTATGCCTGATTAATATTTGAATTGTTAGTGTAATAAGATTCAGGTAAATTTATATTTGTTCCTTGAGGAAATTGTAAATGCGCGGTAGTCATATCGTATGTATTTTGTTGTGATGCACCAGCACCAACAGCAACAAGATGAGGTTGAACACTTTGAACTATGACCGGGCCACTAGAATTAACAGGGCTATTATTCATTAATGAGCTGGTCGGCTGAATTTCCACTGGATAACCACTGTATCCTTGTCGACGCATCTGCATTTGACGGTAATACTGCTGCATCCGCATCTGTGCATAGTATTGTTGCTGTCGTTGCACGTTTAACAATGTCGGGGATTCCGAACTCTTCTGATTATAAGCTGGTGCGATATAACGTGGGTTAGGTTGGACAATGGTCCTTTCCTCTGAAACGGGTGTTAATTGATTTTGTTGAACGTTGATAATTTCGTCTGATGAGTATGATAATGATTGTCTAGTAGAAGAGTTACCACTCTCTGAAACAGTCGTTATTTGATGTCCATTTTCATTAACTTTCACTGGAGTTAGGAGGTTCGCTTTTTTATTTTTTCCAGGTTTTAATTTAGCATCTTCGGCCAGGCCCAGATCTTCCTCGTCTTCTAGTTCATCCGAGCTAGATTCAGATGATGTTTCTATGCGTTCTGATGGCTCAAAGTCTAGGTCAGTGGTAGTGATCTGTTTCTTTTTCTGTTTTTTCGACGAGGATGAATAATCTCCTTCGTAATAGTTCTTATAATAACAAGATGTATCAGTTAGTAACTACACAAGTAAACTATAAAAATCAAGACATTATTTTACTTACGACTTTATTTCGTTTTCTTGCCCCACGACCTTCAATAGGTACTACAGTCGACGACTTGGCGACGTGTGCTAAAATCTTATCCCAGAAGTCGTTCGATGATTTAGACTCTCTGTCCCGATCTCCAGTCTTGATATCATCGACTATGACCTGGTTTTCGGTGTCCCATACACGCGCGGAAGCAAATCCAGTCAAATTTTTGGAATCAGTTTTCTTCTCAGCAGCCTTCATCTGAGAGCGGTCTAACAACTTTTCAATTGTTTCGTCCGTATAAATTCCAATTGGTTTTTCATTAGCATCTTCGCTAAATAACGCCTTTACTCCACAACGAATTATGTCATCGACTTCTTCGACGTCAAGAATTTCATCATCCATCTTTTCGACAACAAGCTCATTTTTGGCGAGTTTTATTTTGCCTTTTTCTACTATACGCTCTTCTACTGAAAATTGGGTAATGAATCGAAATACTTTTACAGGTTTATATTGACCGATTCGATGTACACGACTCAAAGCTTGTATATCTTGATGCGGATTAAAATCAGGATCGAATATAAACACAGTGTCTGCTGCCATTAAATTCAATCCAACGCCACCGGCGCGAGTTGATAACAAGAATATAAAAATATTTTTGTCAGGTGCTTGAAAAGCAGAAATATTCTCTTGTCGTACTTCGTTTGACGTTGATCCATCCTATTTACGGAAAAATTAAATATCATATAATTCTTTATATACATAATACTGTATGTCAATATCACTACTCACAAGTTTCACGTACGAATATCCTTCATCTTCACAAAATTCTTCTAATATTGATAACATTTCCACAAATTGGGAGAAGATGAGCACCCGGTGTTTGGTATCATGTAATTTTCTTAGCATATCTCGCAACATAATGAGCTTTCCACTTGATTCTACCAGCATTTTTCGTCTTTCTGAGTCATACTTTTCAGGGTCTTCGCGAATATCTACCTCGCGATTAATAAGATATGGATGACAAACTATCTGTCGTAGACCCATCAATATGTTAGAAAATCCTGTCGATTTGCGCGCTCTTGTGACCTCCCGTAAAAACTCTGCATTTTTTTCAAAAGTCTCTTTGTAAATCTTCTTTTGTATGGCCGTCATACTAACACGAACTATTACATCGTCCTATGGTCAAAGCAATACAATATTAAACGTATCAAAACAACGGATATCACAAAATAAAGACTTTCAATATCGATATAAGTTACAAAATTACCATTGGAGGAAGCTCTATATTGACCTGGCTCTTAGTACGTCTCAAAAAGTAATTTTTCAACAACTTATGCAATGCGGGCAACTGTTCAAGAGAGGGTAGTCCTTGATATTGCTCTGCTAATTCCTTTGGATTTTTAAATGCCTCGTGACCCAAGAAGTGAAGTAAATTAAAGAGTTCATCTATACTATTCATCAACGGTGTACCTTCAAATTTAATTGGGAAAAGAATAAAATGACATTATTACATAACCATTTATTATTCAAAGTAAAAACCAATTAACTCAGGATTATGATGATTAATAGTTAATTCTACCTGTCAACAGAATTTTATAAAATACATTTTTCAAAGTTGAATTTAATTGCCTAAAGACCTTTCTTTCGTCACCGCCTTTTAAGCTGTGTGCTTCATCAACAACCATTACTTCCCACATACGAACTTTTGAAAGGACTCTAGAACGAAAAAGAACGGTTTCTGGAGTGGTTATTAGCACATGACACTTCAACGAAGAATCGTCAGGAAACATTTCGTATTTTTCAACAATCTCACAAGACTCTTTATCTCCATGAAACTCTACTACGACTAAATTAGGCGCCCATCTCTTAAATTCGCGAGACCAGCCCGCTGTCGTAGATTTTGGTGCAACGACAATAAACGGGTAACAATGACGATCCTTGAATAGTATATTAAGAAACACAATGATTTGAATTGTTTTTCCTATTATTTATTGAAAAAATATGTGATATTGTATAAATTTATAGCTGATATAATAACGCGAATACAAACTATAATCTTACCTAGCCCCATTTCGTCTGCAAGAACACAAGAAGTCTCTAGGCTCCAATTGTGTAATAACCAACTATAAATGTATTAATTATTATTTAATGATTTGATCAATAAATCAAAACATAAACAAAGAAAAAAGACATGCTTTATGCCATCCAATTGGTAATCCATTAATTTGTTCTGATATTTTGGATTATTCGACAACCATGAAGGTTGTTTCTTTATTTCCTGAAATGATCTATCTACAAATCGATCCATTACGTCAATTTTGTAAGCTTTGCGGCGAATTTTTAACGCTTTAGCAAACTTTTTTCCATCCAAATCAGATATGTCTTCCCATGTAGCTATAGTAAAGGAAAGGTATTAATAAGATAAGCATTACAAAATAAAGTTGGCATTAAATGCATAAAGAAAAAGAACACACATTCAATATATCTGAGGCCTTTCCATTTTATAAACGCCCTTTTCATTGTTTCTACGCCCGCTCCACTCTTTCTGGAGGACAATTTCTCTCGCAGAGTTTTATTGTTGGAATATTCTACGTCAAGAACACGATGTATCTTTAGCCACTCACGTGGAATAACTTCCTCTTCACTTAATGGCACCGGTCTTGTTTTCACGAAATAACGATATTTTAGAACCGAAACGTTCATTAACCAATACCCAGGAACCCATTCCACTTTACGATAAGATCGATCTTTGAATTTAACAAGTACTTCAATTTCAGACGCCTTCATTAAAGTGTTTGACTCATCCAATATAGATGACTCTCCAGATTTTTCCGAAATAAATCTATATGTTAAAATTTTATCGATTTCCCAGCTCCAACGATCACATAAATGGCAATTCCATCTCTCACGATAAAGTTCAATTGTAAGCTCGGGTGAATCATCTTCGTTTAATGCAGGAAGACAACGTTCATGCATAGTAAGTGAACAACGATTACACCGAAATAACAAATTTGGATAAGGATCTGATGTCGAACTGGAAGACGACATCGCATCCTCTTCGTTATTGTCCATATCTTTGGGTTGCTGTTCATCGCTATTCACCTCTTTATCAGACTGTTGAATTTCATTTACCCCATCTCCTTTATTTACACTCAATTCATCGGATTGTTGCTGTTCACTCTTATTAAGCTGTTGATTCTCGTCTTCCGAGCTTTTATGGCAGATAATACACATAGCATTGTTTTCAATACAATACTTACATTCAACAATGCTATTCACAACTGCAGGTCTCAATTGATAACATTGTCTATGATATGTAACTGAACATTTTCCACAATATACAAAAGTCCCTTTGGATTTATTGTCGCCACATTTATTACACCACCATATATGCTTTTCAATGAATTCTGGATCATCCTTTCGTAGTATTTGATATGAAGGAATTGGGTCCGAAATTTGGACATACTGTACTTCAACTTCTGATTCCGTTACTGAAACTTTTGGAACGTGCTCATCAGATGCATCCGGAGTTTCTGTTATTGTTTCGTTATCAGACTCATCCGAAGATACATTATAATGGTTTTTCTTTATATTACTTCGCCCTCCTTGATCAGACGATTCATTTGATTCAGAAGGCTCTGATTCATCATTGTCGTCACTATTAGACGACCCTTCATAGTAACCAGCATCCCTGACATTTAAATTCGTTCGCAAAGATCGCCTTTTTTGCTCAGATGAATCGCCGTATGTATTGGCTCGACGAGAAATTTTTCGTCTATTACTTATTATTCGTTTTGAAGGTTTAATCCGTTTTTTCTCTATCTCATCATCAGAAAATTCCTTTGCTTTCCTTTTTGAATTTCCATTATTATCATCAAAACGGCTTGAATAATACTTCTCATCAGAATAGTTAATTCGTGGCATCCTTCTTTTTGAACGCGTAGTAATCTGAAAGTCCAGATCTGAACTGTCGTCGTCGTCGTCGTCGTCGTCTTTATCTTCATCTTCGTCTTTATCTTCGTCTTTGCCTTCCTCTTCCTTTTCCTTTTCCTTTTCCTCCTCTTCTTCATTATTCGATATTTCATCTTTCTCTGCTGGTTCATGTTCTGATATTTCATCATCTTCTGTGTCAGTGCAACTTTCTTCAGTTTCAAGCTCACTTTCTGGATTTGGTTTAAGCTCTTCGGCTTCCTACAATTTCAACGATATTTAGAAGTTCGTTAATAATTATATAAGCGAATTAATTACTAGCTATATATTCACTAACCTCTGAGATTTGATCTTCGTCAGAAGAATTTGTCAGAATAAAAATTTTTCTCCTAGTCATCCTGGTCACTTTTGAAGTAGGTTTTTTTCCATCTCGTTGTGACGCTCGTAGGATATCCCTTTTTCCACCTCGTTTCGATCTTGTAAGCATTACCAAATCTTTTTTAGAACTATTCAATATAAATTAGATTTGGGTTACTCGAAAAATATATACCGCAACGTAAAAATGTGTAAAAATATCAAGATAGTCGTTTGACTTACGATAATGAACATAAATAGTTACTAGAAACTGTAATATTTATATTTAATTCAAAAAAAATCTATTTAAAATTTAGCATACCTCTTGAAAAATATAAGAGCCTTTCTTCGCCAATCTTGAAGAAAAAAGATTTAAAAGTTTTTAATCGGCTACAGTAGATGTAACGCCATCAAAAGTCAAGCCACTCGGACCAGTTACGCGTGACGACAAATCATAGCAGTGAAATTCTTTGTAGCTCCAAACTTACCTGTTGGAATCACGGTAAGGAAATAACTAAAGTTCTTAATGATGATCAACTTATATTTACACGCTGCTACGTATGTGTAACCATTTGTCACATGACAGGCAAAAACAAAAAACTTTACACGTAAGCAATAGTCATTTCAATAAGTAATAATACGTAATGATTGTATGTAAAGTTAGTATACGCAATTTTAATTTGTTAGCCAAGAATGCAGGAAAAAGTGGTCTTTTCAGTTCCACAAAAGCGCGTCTCATTTCTTCGGTATTAATGTTATTGGATATATATTGGCTTGTATTACATTGTTGCATGTAACAATGTGATTCGCTCTTTGTTTAATATACAATTGTGTTGAAATAATTACAATTTTGTTAATTGTGTTTCAAAATTATTGTAATAATAAAAAAATTAATTGTTTTAAAACTTTGTTTAATTTAGAATATTGTTAACTTAAATAGGGTAAGCTAATAAAATTAAACAAATTTTATAATAAAAATTTTTTATAACTTTTAAACAATATTACAAAGTTGATTTTAGAATAGTGTAAAAGTAGTGTAGTACAAATTTTATATGGTGCTGGAAGTCTATACTCAACAGTTACACGAAGTGTTTCAATTTTTGAAATATAGCTAGCTTACAATAAAAAGTTTTTTATACTAAGCAAACTTTTTTTGAATTTTTAATAAAGATTATATTTAAAGTAAGTTATTTTGGTTTAATATGTTAGTAGTAAATTATTTAAATTGGGTTGGTAAATTGCAAGTTATTGGCATTTTCTTTTTTACAACTATATAATTTTTATATATTGCCAAAAACTTTTAGCATTTCAACATTATATAAAAGTAATCATAATTTTTTGTTAATTTTTACTATAAAATTTATACTCTTTAACTGTGATTTACTATTTAAATTTTATTTATTGCTAGTGTAATATAGCATAGCAGATATTTGATTTTATTGGCTTAAAGATCATTGGGTTATACAATATAAAAAAAATTTAAAGTAACCCTTACTATGAAAGACCATATCATCAATTGAAAATCATAGTTTCACATAATAAAAAATTTTTAAAATATATTATAGTGTTCTTTAACCTCTTACATGTCTTTTAGAAAAAAAGATTAGTATAAATCATTATTCTAAAAACTTTACTTAGAAAGCAAATTTAGGCAAGTAATATGATAATATGATATATAATAAATAGGTATTTAACTTTTTTTTTGTTTTTAAACTCAATACCTTGATTTAAAGCAACTAATGATATGGAAATACAGTATTTACAGTATATTCAGAACATTCTACTTGTTCTTTATTTTGTACTGCTTAATTTATTATTATTAAAGTGTAATAACCTTATTTATTGTGATTTATGAAATAACCAAGAACCTAAAAGATGATAACTACAGGATGGTTATAGAATATGCAAAGCAGAGAAGTCTCAAAAATTTGTTAGATAGTAAATATAATAAATTAAATTGAACTTTTAAAGTAGCTAATTTATATTACATAAAGCCAATTTAGTATATATTTTTATTCTAGCAATATTTTTTTTTTTTTTCCTTTGATAACTGCATATTAAAATTTTATTAAATGTATAATGCTTAATACAAGACCAAGCTATTTAACAAGATATTAGACTAAAAGCTAGCTATCTCTTAAAGATGCCCAATCTTAGTTATCACACTAATATTGGCCACTATATCCTATATATGATGCGGCGCATTTAAAGATATAATCTAGCCGGGGCTTAGCTTCCACCTCAGGATCTCTTTTCCTTTCTAATTTTTCCTTTTTCTCAAGGAGTATAAGGAAAAAGGATAAAAAGTTTAAACCAAAAAACAAATATGAAAACAACTAAAAAAAAAAAAATAAACAAAAAAAAAAATAAACAGATTCTGAAAAGAAAAAACATGAAAAGAAAATTAAGACCCTAAAAGTACTATTATAACCCATACAAGGTTAGTAAAAATTATATAAAAAATACAACATTTGTATATCATATTGGCAGATTTAAGAAATCATTATAAAAATCCTCAAATATTTGACAAAGAATAACTTGTAACCTACTGGTCTATTTTGGATGCTTTTACTGCCAAAATGTTTGTCTTGATAAGACGATTCTAAAAAGCCTAATATCATTAAAATCCAATCACTAAATACAAAGAACACTAATGTTTTGTTTACATCAGGTATTATCAGATAGGTTTTGCTAAGTAAAACTTATCCAGTAATACCTGATATAAACAAACTGGTAGCGTTTTTGAGATTTGGTATTAGATTTTAATAATATTAGGCTCTTTAGAATCATCTCATCAAGACAAACATTTTGGCAGTAAAAGTATTCAAAATGAACTAGTAGATTACAAGTTATTCTTTGTCAAATATTTGAGTATTTTCATAATAATTTCACAAATCTGCCAATATGTCTCTCTTGTAAAGGTAAAGCTCTACCTTAATATTAAAATTTATTTTCTGACCTTCTCATCGAATTCGGATAGCTCTGTTGTCCGAGGACCTATATCAAGGCTATCTTTTGCCATAATTAAAGTTCTTGGGCTGAGTTCTATATAATAGCACTATATTTGTCTATAAACAAATATGTGGTTGCAATCTACTAGCCTGTTCAAATTTGGGAAGTAAACAATACTGATCTTTTGGAGAGGATAAGCCAAATCTCTACTTTTTGTTAAAAAATTTTGAAAGAAAAGCAAGGAAGCAAAAAAAAAATAGTAGGCACTACTTGGCCAAAAAAAAGAAATACAGCTTAAAAGAAACCTGTTTTTTACTGTTCCTCAGTTGTTTTACAATAGTTAGCTTCGTCGACAGAAAGCTTGGACTTTTATCACCTCTACTTATCTACCAAAATTTCGTATACAAGAGCACCATCTTCTGCTAGTTATCTTGTATACAAACGCTTTTGGCTTGTATGTCAAATATATAAAGGAGTCCTCCAAAAATAGAAAAAGATTAACCTTTGTAAAAACCACCCTGTTAATATCACCTCACTACAGATTACTACTCTCCAGTATCAAAAAAGGCTTTCCTTTTCATCAAAAAATTTGGTCCAAGTAATTGTCAGAAAAAGTTTCTTGACTAATATATTCTAGCAATATAGTTAATTGTTCTTACATTATTTATATAAGCTAGTGTTACAAGACTCAAATTCTAAAGGAATTTTTGGTGTATTTCTATATATTGTTCCAGAAGTATTATATACAAATGGAAAGAAATATACTCAAAAATCAGTTATTTATTTTTTCGGAATAATTATGTTGAAAGTTTTTACTAAATATCATAATATTTTACACAATAAAGATCTAGCAACATGTATTTGTCTTGATTATAAGCCTAAAATTAAATGCAAAACTTCTTAATTACTTTTGGATCTGATAAATAAGTGTTTAGACGCAGAACCTTGAGACAGACCAACTGCTAAAGAATCAGTTAATATATATGGTTTGAAAGATAAAGAAACTAAATTATATAAGAATATTAAAAAATATTAAAGACTTTGAAAAAATTTTTTCAGGTCAAATCAACATGATTTAAATATTAAACACATCTGCAAACTATTTATACAAGTTAATTTTTGAATATTTTTCTAAACTAGATAATAACAAATATTTTTTAAAGTTAGTAATATGTTATTAATTGTAATAATTTTTAAAAGCTGATTTAGTACACAAAGATTTTCATTCTGGCAAGCTAGTATTACAAAACTTAAATTACAAAAGATTTTTTGGTGTATTTCCATATATTCTCTAGAAGTATTATTGTCCAAAGCAAAGCAAAGGACTTATATTTCTATGCTCTTTAATGACCAAAATTCTGTTTTTGATAAAAATATATTAAAATTATCAAAAACATAGTTTGTGTATTTTCCGTCTGTAACGCCACGTCTCTATATTTGTAACCCTGTATAACAATAACAAGAATCTTTAAAAATTTACGCATCAATATACCTTTTGATTGGCTAAACTTAAATTTAACTTTTAGTATTGTGTGTCTAAGCTATTATTATCTAAAGTTAATTGTGTAATTGACATTTTTAAATCTTCTTACCTTCATTCGTTATACAGTAAAACCTCTATGAGTGCACACACTTGGATCCAAGCTTTAACAGTGTGCACTTAGAGATCAATAAGAAAAAGTGCATTTAAAAGTGTATTTAAAAGTGCATTTATAAATATATGTCTCATCTTCCTAATACTACACTCTTTCCGATAATCATCTGAACCATATTTTTCTGAAAAACTTTTTGACTAAAAAACAGTAACGTACTGCAAAAAAAAAGTAAAACGTGGGAAA